ATAAACATCAAAACCCTAGCAAAAGGCCCAAACCAAACAATTATTGAGAGGGTGTCCTTAACAATGATAAAAGGAATAATGTTAAAGACGGGGAATCATATCTTTTATGAATTTTATTTTTTATTAAATATTGACCTTGGGATCTTTTTGGATAAGTTAAGCCCAAGTCATTTTAATATTGTTTTCATAAAGATTTTCATCATTGTAAAAAGATAGTAATCTTCTAATCTTTCCAGGTTAATTCCGATAGTAGAGAATTTAGTACTTAATCTTTAATCCTTAGGTCCTTAAATTTAAAAAGTTATACAAACACACACACACACACACACACACACACACACACACGCACAGAAATCTGGTCCATTAATACATTACTGACTTGAGACATGTGATGATTTTTCATTTGTAATAAATACAATACAGTTTGACCCTAACTGTACGATTTTTTGATCTCATAAATTATACAGAACGGATTGGAAAGAGCCAATTATTTATTTGTGTTTCTGTGGTACCCAATATTTATAAACAAGCCAAGAGGGGGAAAGCGTTTGATTTTTGAATATGAAAAAAACAGACTTGCATTTGATATATCAAATTTTCTTTTTGATAATTGGTTAAATTCAGACCTCTAAAACCTTCGAAGATCTTTTTTTTTCTTGGTTAAATACAAAGGTATTTCTAAGGCACACACTAAATGACCATAGCCTTGTTATACATTTAGAGTTGGTTAACACCACTGACAATGCTACAAGGTTTAAATTGAGTTAACTGTCATGGCTACTCTCCAATATTCTAATTCGATTAATCATGGATGGATGGATATTACCCCGTGGAATTCCAACTGCCCCAATAATGAAATAACCTCACTTCCCAAAACTCAAGCCAATGACTTTAAATGTGTCATCTGATATTTCCTTTTTCTTTTATTTTCTTATGTCTAATGAATTATTCTTTTTTCTAATTTTTATTTTTCGATTAGAGTTGACACTTAATATTATTTTATATTAGTTTCTGGTGTATAGCATAGTAGTTAGACGTTTACAGAACTTATGAAGTGATCCCCCCTATTAATGTAGTACCTACCTGGCACTATACATAGTTATTACAAGTTAGTCGACAATATTCCCTATGCTGTACTTCATATCCCTATGACCATTTTGTAACTTCCAACTTATAGTTCTTAATCCCTTTGCCTTTTTCGCCCAGCCCTCTGAGCCCACTCCCATCTGGCAACCATCAGTTTGTTCTCTGTATCTGTGATATACCTCCCAAGTTTCCATGGAAGGGGCAGTTTAAAAATATAACACAGGACTCTAAGATAAGAAACTTACACTATATGCTTTATCTACATGAATGAGGTAGATAAATAAAGTATAAGGTATGATTATAGCCTTAAAGATTTAGATCTCTTTTCTAGTCTGACAAAGAACTGAAGAGCATCTGCTGGAGAGTAAAAGATAGTAGTAGCGTTTGCAGTAGACAAACAATGTTTGGGGCTCCATCTTTGCCTCCGAGTATCTACATGATCCTGAACAAGTTATTTGACCTCATTTTATTTCTGAGGAAACGAAACTCAAGAACTTAACACATTATTTACAGAATTATGATAAATATTACATGAGAAAAAATTAAAAGTGCTCGGATAGTATTGGGCACATAGTCAAGGGCATTTTAGCCTTTGCCTTTTGTAATTATCAGCATCATCAGCATAATGCATAATGAGTATTTACTACATATAGTGCAAGATATTTCACATATAGCTCTTTAGTTCTCACTAAAGAACTATAAAGTAGATAATGTTATTCCCATATTTTAGATGGAGACTAACACTCAACGGATTATATTGCTTTACCAAAATTATTCAGTTAAAAATCAACTCCAAGATGTAGTTTTGGCCTCCCAACATAACCATTTTCACAATACAACACCAATGAAGTCCAAAACAAAATATATTTGTTTGTTTGTTTGGGTAACTAATCACTGTCATTTCCTCAAGAATGCTTATAGGCTTGTTATAGATAGTTACCTCAAGTTTGACTGCTATTTGAAATTTGAGTACAAATATCAAATGCCGAACTGGATATATCTCCTGGGTTCTACCACCAATATTCTCCAATTTGCATTTATCATCTGCAAGGCTCCCAGAGTGACCACACAATGTAACTTATACATTGTTTTTTGTGGTACTTTTAATTTAACCAAGGCAGAGTCCCTTTAATTAATTTTATTGTGTAATCATCCATATTTCAACTCTAAAAACTACTGCTTGCTTGCTTACCTGCCTTCCTTCCTTCCTTCCTTCCTTCCTTCCTTCCTTCCTTCCTCTTCCTCT